CTATATAAAATTTATGTAAAGTAATGTTCAATATAAAAGTTTGATCAACCTAAAGTCGGAATCGTTGTATATAACTAACTAAAATTAATAACATGCTATAATAATAATAATGGGCAGTCTCCGACAAAATTATACATGGGAAAAATGTGGATCATATGAACCTACGAGAAACGTCTTTGTATGGTTTAGTTATATAGAACGTTTTATACTTAACAAATATAAAACATTTTCCGTGTTGATATACAGTTATATCAACACGAGTGGAATTGGGAAAACGAGAAATTGTATGGAAACACGACGCCCGAAGGGCGGAATGTTTTCATACAATTTCGAGTTTTCCCAACTTCCACGAGTGTTGATATAACTATATATCAATACGGAAAAATGTTTTATATTTGTTTTATAATATAGCACAAAGAAACATAAAGAAAGAAATTTTCCGACGTCTCCGTGTTGACATTGAGTTATATCAACACGGCTCTTAGCCAATCAGCGTTCAGAATTTACAAATGCTATATTATAAAATAAATTTGTCGACAGTCACTATATATTGCCATTGGTTCATTTTCTTGCATAGTATTTCTTTTTGCACATGTAGACTGTAATTATTTCTAGTTCAGCTAGGTTGTCCCATTCATTGTCCCGCTTGCATTTTCACAGAAAAGGCAAAAGATTGAAGTTGTCCGAAGTCGCTCCTTGTCGCTTCCATGTTGAGTTTTTGAGTTTTGACAACCCTCGGAATACTTGACACCACGTTCGCAAGGCAAATATCAGTAAGGTTGACGCTTGCGCAGACGTTTTCCCGCGGTGTTCGTGTGCGCGGGTTTATCGCGTGACTTAATTCTTAAAACAAACAACAAATTTACACAAATAAATCTATTTTCACACATTAATTTCATCTAGGCCAAGCGATCGGTGTGGGTATAAAATTTGCTGAAAAAGATTATGGCAGCGTTCATGGTGCTGTGTCTGATGATAATGTTGGTGACGCATATCACGATGTCAGTGTTTATGTCCGTTCAAAACCGATCCAGAGTCAACCGTAGAGGCGCCTACAATGGCGGCACCTCCAAATTAAAATTTGGTGATAGTCGATCCAAAAAACCCAGTTCTTTGCCAATTAGTAAATAGGCTGTGTTAAAACCCTGGAGAACAGAAACAAATCCAACCCGAAAGATAACGCGGATCGATATGTCAATTTCGCCATGCTGTTTCGCGGACATGAAATTTTGTATTTTTAATAGAACACATTGCTTTGCAGACCAAAAATTTCGACAAAAAGAAGCCAATCCTCACCAAATTGATGTTACTTGTTCCAGAGGTTTATTTTTATTATTTTCATTGCGAAGGGGAGAGGGAAAATAAACCTCTGGTTGAAAGCGGCAATTGATTAATTGAGCCGCGCCAACTGATCAGTTTGAATTAGGGTCAGATCCTGACTCTGTCTCCTGATTGTATGATTGTATTAAAGCTCTCTGATTGGTTATAGATGTTTTATTTGAACCAATCAGAGAGCTTTAATATCCAATCATCCAATCAGGAGACAGAGTCAGGATCTGACACTAATTCAAACTGATTGGCGCAGCTCAATGAATCAATTGTTGCTTTCAACCAAAGGTTTATTTTTTCTTTCCCCTTCGCAATGAAAATAATAAAAATAAACCTCTGGAACCAGGGTAAATTGATGTGGGTATGTCAAACATTTTTTAACTGTTATAGCAGCCGATTTAAATTGGCTAAGAACTGTTTTCATAATCAATAGACCGCCACCTTTTTTGGGCGTAAACGTTGATCGTTTTATTTCGTTATCATTTTCCTATTTATACTATATCTCCTGCATATAATCAATAACTATGAATGGCGTATGTAATAATCAAACATGTATTTAGTAATCGATGACGTCTATAATAATCAATGATGGTCATTAATTGCTATGACTAAATAATAATCGATGACGTCTATAATAATCAATGATGGTCATTAATTGCTATGACTAAATAATAATCGATGACGTCTATAATAATCAATGATGGTCATTAATTGCTATGACTAAATAATAATCGATGACGTCTATAATAATCAATGATGGTCATTAATTGCTATGACTAAATAATAATCGATGACGTCTATAATAATCAATGATGGTCATTAATTGCTATGACTAAATAATAATCGATGACGTCTATAATAATCAATGATGGTCATTAATTGCTATGACTAAATAATAATCGATGACGTCTATAATAATCAATGATGGTCATTAATTGCTATGACTAAATAATAATCGATGACGTCTATAATAATCAATGATGGTCATTAATTGCTATGACTAAATAATAATCGATGACGTCTATAATAATCAATGATGGTCATTAATTGCTATGACTAAATAATAATCGATGACGTCTATAATAATCAATGATGGTCATTAATTGCTATGACTAAATAATAATCGATGACGTCTATAATAATCAATGATGGTCATTAATTGCTATGACTAAATAATAATCGATGACGTCTATAATAATCAATGATGGTCATTAATTGCTATGACTAAATAATAATCGATGACGCATATAGTAATCAATGATGGTCATTAATTGCTATGACTAAATAATAATCGATGACGCATATAATAATCAATAATCAATAATCAATAAAGTATATAATCAATAATCGATCACTTCTCTTTAAAGTATTGTAATCAATCACATATTAATAATCAATAATCAAACACGTTGCTAATCAATCACGTAGCTATAGAAAATTGAATGTAATTTTACACTTTCTCATTAAAGTACGTTAAATATGTACTAACTGTTTGTGCAATTCTGTCACCACGATAATATGCACTTTTATGCCCAGCTTGCATCTGCTGTCGCAAAAAGTTACGCTATTTATTTTAATTTAATGTAACGTAAAAACTAATGAATACTAGCCATTACACTCAAACACGTATCATTGTGTGGAATATGGAACGAGCTGCGAACATTTGAATTTGGAATATATTTCGAAAATTAGTCAGCAAAAAAAGAAACTGTAACCATTTACTAAGCCTATTCGTTCGCAATTATTGCCAATTTCATTAACAGACTGTTAATTTGAATTTCTGATTATTTCTTACAATATTTACAATTTTGTTCGTCATTCCTGTCCCTTGGAAATAAAATTAAAAGATTGAAACGTCCTGGATGAGCAACAGCTAAGAAATGCAAGACAACTTCGTGAGCCAACGGACCGAATTCGAATTCCCATTAATCATTATTTATAGACTAATTTTTTATCTTGGCAAAAGAAGTATATTTCCGGATCAAAAGAACATACTAAAATAAGTAAAATTGCAAAGTTTGGTTGCGAAATGTTGTAAAATTCGGAAAATATAGCCTTGCAAAGTTCGCAAATTTTGTATACTTTTGTATTGCGTGCGGAAATTGCTACTAATACCACATTTGGGCCGAAAATGGTAGCAATTTCCGCACGCAATTCAAAAGTACACAAAAATTTGCGAACTTTGAAAGGTTATATTGTCTGTATATCGTCCTCTGATCTAGAAATACTTTCTAGATCAGTGATATCGACCCAGGCGTTCTATAAAATTTTTAGATGAAGTATTCCCATAGCGTTTACAGAAGCGCAGAGAGCATACAAGAGCGCTAATATAGCCATCAAAATTTAAATATCTGCAGTACCATTTATACCGAATTCATTCGCATAATCCTCCTCAAGTTCATCCAGCTGATTAGAATTCTGCTATGTTTACACCATCCAGTAACCCCCTCCCCCTATCCTTATTAGTTTTTGGGGGGGGGGGGGATTGTTCCGAACAAGTTTGCCCGGTGTGGATATACACCACAAGTATCAAGCATTTCAGTATTTGCATACATATATAACACAAACTATTTCAAACGTATAGTCGGTAGTTCGTCGTCAAGATCTTAAACTCCTATTGCCACAATCTACAATGGTACAAAGTTACAAACCGTTCGAGATTAAGTTACGTCGGCTCAACGACATGCTTTCAAAACAAAGAAATTTGTCATGCAAGACAAAACTGTCAATAATTCTTGGTCCCAGGGGTATCCGCGTTGTCATTCTCAACACAACGTTAAACAAGCATTATTACGTCTTGCAGTCAACGTGAAAGCTTTAAGCCTGGTTTCCATATGGTCGTAAAAATGGAGTCACGATCTTTCTCAACGGCCAGTTTATAATAGTTTATACCTGTAAACACTGATCTAGACCACATATAAATCATCAGTATTCTCTAGTTATCATCACTCCGCGTATTTTCAGTTCTAAAATGTTGTATTTCGGCTGATGAGAAAGATCGCGACTCAATCTTTACGACTGTTACGACCATA